TTTTTTCTTGATATGATAATTTATTTCTATATATTACCTTTTAAGACCACTTTCATCGCATCCTACAGATTATGGTATGTTCTTTCCGTGTTTTTATTGACTTATATGTATTATTTTATATCTTTTTTAATTTCATCTGTAACCAACTGGTTGTTCAGAAGATTGGCATTTCATTTTCATTTAGTTATTGCAATTTCTTTTGTAATTAATAGACAGTTTCAGTGTAATGTGATCAGGTAATACCCATGAGATGATTTCATTTCCTTTACCTTTACCTAAGAAGGTTTTGTGGTTTGTTTTATGGTCTGTTTTGGAGAATGTCCCATGCACAGCTGAGAAGAATGTGTATTCTGATCTGGTTGGATAGAATACTCTATAAACATTACTAAACCCATTTGCACATAGGTATGGTTCAGTTCCATTGTTTCTTTGCTGAATTTTTGTCTAGTTGATCTATCTCTTTGTGATAACGGGATATTTAGGTCTCTTGTTATAATTGTGTTCTTGTGTAATTTTTTTTTCATCTCCATTAATATTTGTCATATATAGTTGGTTGCTCCTATATTTTCTGCATATATACCTACAATTGTTAGTTCTTTCTCTTAAAGTTTTACACTAACCAGTATGTAGTGACCTTATTTATCTATTTTAATAATTTTCTTTAAAGTTCATATTGTCTGAAAACAGAACAGTTACCCCTTCTTTTTTCTGGGTTCCTGTTTCATGGAATACTGCTTTCCATCCTATGGCTTTTAATCTATGAGTTTCTTTTGCATAATGTGGGATCATGTTTCTTCATCCATTCTGTCAGCCTGTTTCTTTTGATTGGTCAATTGAAGTCATTTACATTCATGGATATAACTGATATACACTGGTTCTACTTTTCATGTTACTTTTCAGTTGCTTGTTTTCTGCCCCCCCCCCCTTAATTTGTTGTGCTTCGTGGTGGCTTCTTTGTGTAGTTGTTCTAGAGATTGTGGTCATTTTTATGTCTATGTAGTATGACTTGCAATATTCTTTCTAGGCTTGGTTTGGTGGACATAAATTTCTTCAGTTGTTCTTTGTCATGGCAGTATCTTGTTTTTCCATTAAATTGAAAAGAAAGGTTTTCTGGGTACAACAATTCAGGTTGAAAGTTGTTTTGTTTCTTGAAACACCTCACTCCAAAAGCATCTTGATTTGAGGGTTTGTGCGAAAAAGTCTACTGTGATTCTAATGAGCTTTCTTACAGAGGTGAGTTGTGTCTTTGCTGTAACAGCTTTTGTTATTCTGTTTTTATGTTGTACCTCTGGTATCTTAAGGATTAAATGTATGGGTGTAGACTTATGTTGGTTATGACTGTTTGACATTCTGTATGACTCACTAATGTGCATATCAGATTTTCCCCCATGTTTGGGAAATTTTCTGCTGTTACTTCTGTGAATGGTTTAGTTATGTCATGTGCATTGACTCCTGCTTGTTCACGGATGTCTATTACTCTGACATTGTTTCTCCTGGCATCACCTTGAAACTTCTGGATTGTCATTTCTTGCTGCTTTGTTATTTTTAAAAGTTATAGCCTTTCATGATCACTAATTGTGGTCCTGTCCTCAAGGTCTGAAATTCTATTCTCAGCTTCATTTAACATTTTATTCAGCTTTCAATAGAATGTTTTGTTTCTTGGATACCTCTTTGAGTTTGTTTCATGGATTCTGCTTGTTTACTGTATTGTTCATTCAAGAATTCAATCAGTTTCCCATGCTCTTGTACTTTATTATCTATTTCTTCTTTGGTGCACTTAGCAAATCCTTTACTAAGGTTGTTATTTCTGTCTTTACATGAGAGACTACTTCTGATTTGATTTCCTCTATAGCCTCATGGAATTGTCTTTTTATTTCTTTTCTACCTTCTCCAAGATTCCAAGCCAGTGTGTGGCTTTTAAATTCCCATATTTCAGTGTCTACTTTACTTGCTCCTGATGGACTAGATGTTTAAGATTGGATTTTGCTTTTTTTGTTTTGTCATTTTCATCTTTTGGGCTAATATTTGGCCTTTCAGTACAACTAGTGTCATCTATTGGTAGTGTGTATCTTAGGGTCCTACTGTGTGATGTTTATCCAATTGCTGGATGCTACAGTAGAAAGTTGAGCCAGTCACCTGAATTTTGGCTGCAGGAATTGGGGGAATCCTACATTCTTCCTAGGCTGACAAATCTAACAGTATTGAAATAAATCAATCCTTAGTTCCTGCTGTTTCTATGTCAGGTCACCAGATCTCTTTTTCTGTAGTGTTTGTCTGAGCTGGGACCCTCTTGCATCCCATAAGGCCTTTTAATTTTGCCCTTGTTGAGGGAAGCCTAATTGGCACCCTCCCCAACCTATGTGATATTCTCTATGTGGGGGAAGGACTCACCTGCATTCTTGTAAAGCTCACCAAGAGTCTACTTCTTGAGGAGGCTTGGCTATTGCTTCTGTTTATCCACTGAAGATGGCAAACTATATTCCTATTTTTAGAGTCAAATGCACCACACTGATGGAAGCTGCTGAGGTCTTTTGTTTGGATGAAGAGTACTGAGTCTCCTATCAACACAGCATGGTTAATTCACTGCAGTCTAAGGTTTTGGGGGGAGGAGTGAGAGTTGAAGATCAATAGCAATACTATGTCCATGAGGTGGGGGATACCAGAGTGCTACAGTGGGACAGTGGGAGCATGGAAGAGACCAGCTCTGCCTGGCCCTGTGTACTGATGGAGGTCCTGTGTCCTGAGGTGGGTGGTGGAAAGGTGGGGACACGGAAGGGTTGGACTCTGGGGTCTGGCCTCGCATGCTGTTGGAGATTGTGCATTATTGATGGTCCTGTGTCCTGTGGCAGGCAACAGGACAGTGAGGTGAGGAAGGGGTGGGCTCAGGGGCCCAGCCTTGTGTGTCACTGATGGTCCTGTTTCCCACAGCACATGGTCTCTTAACAAGTTCTTAAGAAAACATAGTAGTAACTTAGGACTCAACAATATGGTCCCAAATTATTCTTTTCTTAGAATTTAATGCCCCAGACATTAACTATAGAAAATAGTAAAAAAAAAAAACAAAACCTCACAGTTTTTTAGTTAAGCAGATTTCCTTTTGCCTGTGTTTACAACAACAGCATTATTAGGATTCTTCAAATTCATATTGCAGAACTGTTAAAAATTTAAATATAAACTGCATTAACGAATATGCCTTTTTCAATTGAGAATGTACATTACAAAACACAAAACATTTACTGCATTTGATACAGATGCATTTAAACATTAGGAGAGAGATAGCTCTTATCATACAGAGTCCAAAGTAGTTGTGAAAATGGGGAGCCGTGACTCACCACGTTGATTTTCATCACAAAATATAGAATCATCAGAAAGACACAAAAAGGGATTTCTTAGGTAGAATTTTACAGTTAAACAGTCCAAGTAATGCAGTTCTAGCTCTCAAAAGAGCAAGAGTTGCAGTTAAAGTCTAAAGCTATGTCCATATATGTGAAGTTTGGACGGAATATCTGTGGAACTTCTAAAGCTGAAGGAAAAATTGTTTCAATGTATAGAGGAAATACCACTAGTCTGTTTGCTGGGGAAGAGTGATAGACTATTCCTTGACATTGCCATCATGGGTGGTTGGGCATTATCTTATCAATAACAGAGGACCATGGGACAGTAGATGGTGCTTTCCATGTAATTGTGGAATCTTCTGGGAGCCAGGCTATACTGTGTGGACTGCCCCGCTATTTTTCAGGTGAAAGATTAGTGAATGGAAAACATAAACGTGCACCAAAGACACTAGGAAAATGAACAGGCTACTTAATTTTTTCTGGCGGATTTCACAGGCTGAGCTGCTCAAGGTGAGGTTTCCACCTCTTTCCCAAGACTTTTTGAGAATAAGTAGTAACATTTAATTAGTTTTCAAAAATGTGAGCTGAGATATTGGGAAACTGGCCAGTTATTTAAAAATCTAACACTAAAAGCAAAACAAAAAAATAAAAACACTCAGGTAAGTAGAGTCACTTGTGTAGCAGGAATTTGGGTAGTAGACGGTGCAACACAAGAAGAGTTCTTTTCCTGCAGTAAAACAGCAAGCGCATGGTGACCTGGAAGAACTCCAGCTATCCTCAGTGTTGCAAGATTTTTCCAAGCAAACACCTGAGTTCTCTGTGGTCTGAGCAGACTCTAAGGGACTTCCTGCTTGTATTATTCTCCACAAGCCAAGTCCCTCTTTACCCAACATGGATCTCAAAGGAGAATATATTATCTGGGCCTAGTTCTCTTTTTTAAGGAGATCATTGTGAATATCTGCCCTCTTCAGAATTATGCCTTGTCCTTAACTTTCCTTGGAAGTTTTCCTCAAATATTTTAGGAAAATTACTATAGGTTTTGTTTATTTTAATTGCTTGTTTCAGAAGGAAGGACTCAAGCAGTCAAGTTAGGCATCTGGATGATAAGCTGAAAGATGGAATAGGATATACGATGGCAGTAACAGAGTGCTACAAAACTAAGAATTACAATGTTATACATGGTTGTAAAATTATGAAACAGAATGACACAGTTTAAATTAATGAACTGTACATATGTGAAACATACATCATCAGACAGAAGGAAATAGTTCTTGAATCACGATGTCAAAGAATTATCCATTATCTGTGAAATTACTTCATTTCTAAATCTGTGTCAGATGATTACTACAAAGTCATTTGTATTTTCCACTGTTCTTACAGCAGTTTAATATCCCATGAATAATAAAGGTGCCTGACACTTGCTGGCCATTGAGTTCTAACTACCTGAAATCAAATAATCATAACAGAAAAATTAAATCCTCTTATAAAAGACATTATGATTTGCATTACCATTTCGAATCTGCTGTCACTCCTCATGCTGTGTCCATTTGATATATTTACTTTCACCATTCCAAGTTATTTTTTAACTTGTTGGTCAATTTCTCCCTGAATATAAGCAGACAGAAAGTAGCATGATTGGAAAGGAAATACTTTACTTTCCAAGATGCCCATGAAAAGGATCTTGGCTCTGCTGCTGCTACAACTGTGTTGTCACTTCCACTCTGGGAGCTGTGGAAAGGTGCTGGTATGGCCGATGGAATTCAGCCACTGGATGAATATACAGGTCATATTAGAGGAACTTATCCGGAGGGGACATGAGGTGACAGTCCTGAGACCTTCATGTTTTATTTTTGTTGATGTTAACACAACATCTGAAATTAAATTTGAAACATTTCATACATCTTTCACTAGAGACTACTGGGAAAAAATTTTCACTGACTTGGTTACCACGTGGTTAAATACTGGGTCAGTGGATACATGTTTGGATTATTTTCCAGAAGTAGAAAAATTGTTCAAACATTTTTCTGATGAATGGGAGAATGTATGTAAAGAACTAGTCTCAAACAAAAAATTTATGAAAAACTTACAAGAATCAAGGTTTGATATCCTTCTGGCAGATGCCGTTGGCCCCTGTGGTGAGCTGGTGGCTGAGATACTACACATCCCTTTTGTGTACAGTCTTCGCTTCTCTCCTGGCTTCCAAGCGGAAAAAAGAGCTGGAGGGCTTCTACTTCCTCCTTCTTATGTACCTGTCATCATGTCAGGGTTAAGTGGTGAAATGACTTTCATGGAAAGGGTCAAAAACATGATATGCATGCTTTATTTTGACTTTTGGTTTGAAACTTTTGATGAGAAAAGGTGGGACAAGCTTTACAGTGAAATTTTAGGTAAGTCATGTTTTTAATTCATAAACAGAGGGTTTGTTATAGTGTGTTTTTGGATGTATGTAAAATCAAAGAATTTCTCTTTTATAAATAAGCAAAGCAGTAAGAAGTAAATTATCAGTATCACAGGACATGTAGAAATGTTTATATTACGGTGTAATATGGCTGACAATACTAGCCTGTTACTGATACAGATCACTTCACGATGTCACACAACTCCACAGTGAAGAATGAGGTTTTAATTTTGCAAATTCTTATGAAATTTACTCTCTTTGCATTTCAAAATATAAATCTTTTGACAGTTCCTTATGAATCAAGACAAGTATATTAATGAGATATACATGTTCCTAGTAAATTTATTTAGTAACATTTTGACAGCTATTTTCCCATGTGAGGAATTTGTTTATGTAAAGTAACTATTTTAACTTACTACCTAAAAGATTCCTTCACTTTTGCATTACAGTGCGTTACTCTAGACTCCAGTATTTGAACTTGAATAATATAATGATTCATCATGCTATGATACGTCCTTAGCAATCATCCACTTTAAAGTTTCAAAATCTGTAGAAATGTAGAATAAATGTAGTGTTTTCCAGTAAGCTTTTTACTAGAAAAAGCAATCAGTCACAGTGAAGTACAAACACAAATCTGTCTTACTGTAATTGCTGCAAATATTTCAGGAGATGTACATAAATATTGGCAAATGATAAGTTCATAACATGAAATAATTTGAATAAAAATCAATGGTAGTGCAATAAATTCATCCATAGTGTTTTTTTTTCTTTTTTTTTTTTTAACCTAGGATACAACTCATGACCTTGTGTTTACCAGGGAAGGAGTTAAGCCACTGAGTTAAATACCCAGCCATCCATAGTCTTTTATTAGGTGCCAACCTTGTAAATGGCAATTACTAATGAATGCTTGAAAAACTTATTCAAAAATTATAGTAGGGTTCATTGACTCAGATGATTTGTTACTATTTTCATCTATTAAGTTAACAGATTTAGAGAATCTGAAATTCATTTTAATTATATAATAATTTTGATGTCTACATATGAGTGTGATCATACTGAGTTAATTTTAGTCTCATCTCACTCTATCTTTCTCAATGATAAAAGTGAATCACACACAAGATACAAAATATTTTGTTCTAATGTGAATATATTTTTGTTAATGAACAGTTAGTTTATATTTCTTTCCTGCCACTTTGAAAAAATATTTTTCACTCAGTAGTTCTGTAATTATTCAGCCTTTTCTATTTTTACTCTTATTCATTCAGGAAAACCCTCTACATTATATGAGACAATGAGCAAGGCAGACATGTGGCTTATTCGAAGCTACTGGGACATGGAATTTCCTCATCCGTCTTTACCAAACTTTGATTATATTGGAGGACTCCACTGCAAACCTGCCAAACCTCTACCTAAGGTAAATACATTCTGTCTCTATTATACCTTTTAATTTTCAGTGAAAATGATTTGCTGTATTAATTGACAGTCTTGAATCCCAGTGGGATATATGTGAGAAACAGTCAGGTATTTTGTCAATTAGAAATATATATTTCAGGTAGACGTTATGGCACAAGCCAGAACTCCAGAGGCTGAGGCAGGAGAATCACTGGGTCAAACATGCCTGGGCCACCCAGCAAATTCAAAGATCACTTGAAATGCATAGAAACAGCTTGTTTTAAAAGAGAAGACTTCTCTTATTTGTATTCCAGCTCAAGTATCTGCATTTCTTTAGCAGTACAGAAATAATGGGATTCCTAGGAGGTAATTAGCATAGAGTCCATTAGATTCTGAACCTCATCATCCCTCATATCTTTCACTTGTTCAATCAAAATCCTTAAAGTGACTCATATGCATGTTCAGTAAGTGTAAAGTATGCATAGAATCAATTCACAGTGTTTGCCCTTCACATCTTCTATACTGTTTGGAAAGAGTATAATGAAGTAAAAAAAAATATGTTAAACATATCTCTAAAGGGAAGAATTATATTACGATGGAAATTTTGAGTTTAAAGTTGATTATAGAAACTTTCCTAGATAAAATAATAACAATAATAATAAATGAACAAGACACAGCAACAGACTAAAGGATAAGGCATTGAGAAGGATTGGCTGTTAGGATGTTAAGAATAACTCCAAAGAACTGAAAGCTCTTTTTAACAGGATGCTAATTTTTCTTGGTAGCTAACTTAGAATCTAGTTCATCCAACATATGTAGTATAAGGTTTGGTGATACAGAGAAAAAAATTTGGGAAACAGGAGATAATATTTCCTTTTATATTAAAATAAATATTAGAAGAGACCTTACATAGATTAGATTGGAGACATGCAGAATGGTAGCAGTGCAGAACATTTAGAATGTAGATGTCAGAATTCAGGAAACACATGATGAAATGCAGACTAAGATCTGCACACATGTACAAGGTTACTCATATGATTTAATAAGAAATCTTCTTTGAAGGCAAATACATTATTTCATGGAATTAGATGAATGGGATGAAATGAGATTTTATTGTAGGAAATGTAGTTCTTTATTAATATTCTACCTTACAAAGAAGACAATTGCTCAGTTGTATGCCTGTGGTGTCCCCATCAGTATTTGTTCCCTAGCCTAACATCTCCTTGCCTTGTCCATATCATTGAAACCATTCCTCACTTTGGATCCTAGAATTTTCCATTTCAGTGTACAAAAGGATGGAGTACTTTACTGAAGTAGGTATTTAATGCCATATGGCAAGTCTGTAGGCCACCTCTGTAAAGTTCTTTTGAAGGACAAGATGTGGGCATCAACATTGTCTGGTAAAATAAGTGCAGATAAAAGAACCATTGCATGTAAATTAAACACCTCCCAGATCTATTATTTCTCTGAATATTGCTTTGGTGCTTACTACAAATTTGTCTGGCACTGTATAGACTGATATTCCTTATTAAGGAATACAATAATCTAAAATATTTTAAATTGGCATCAAACTTCAAAGCTATATGCAGAAATGAAACATTCTTTATGATTTTTAGCATATGTGATTGTTTCAGATTTTGTTTTGTTTTGTTTGCATCCTTCTTAAGAGCAATGTAAAACTGAGATTGATTATTGGGAAAAATTCCAACTTCTGTTAGACATTTTAAGACAAATTTTTTCAGACTGTGTAAAAGCTTCTTCACCCTTCAAATCTATGAAGCATTATCAGAGTACATTCTAAACAATACACCTGAACATATGAAGAACTTTTATTGCAAAATAACAGTTTTAACAGATGCAGGAAATAGAAAAAGAAAAGAAAAATAAAGAGAATTTTGAAGGCAGCAAAAATTGCTACTAACAACTGTTACTAAGCCACACAAAATAGAAAATTAGAAACTGCCATCAAGTTCTAAAAGCATTCATGGCTTTTAATGTAGCATGCACAATAAATACGTTAAAATCCCAAAGATTCACAAATCAATGTACATGGTAATTTTTTGTGAAAATAAAACTTGGAAGTAATCTAAAACTCCAGAATTTGGAAAGAATTTAATAATGAAATATGCACATAACACAACATCCCAATTGTTCTTCATGAGAAACTTTAATAACACTAAATTAGCCATAAGTTTATATATATATATATATATATATATATATATATATATATATGTGACATGCTTGTCTTGCCAAAGATATTTTTATTCAAAGAAAGAGGAAAAACAGTAACGGGGTATAAGTAATACAGAATTTCAAAAAAATAAACAGTAAGAAATCACTAGTTAATAGATTACATATTTTCACCTTAGAAATAGTTGTTCGAGTTACAAAATTAAAGCATAAAAAGTAGACATTCAAATAGTGAAAGTGCAAAGAGCTGTGTTCAATGATCCAACCAAAACTTAGTAATATGGTCATCTATCTTACATACCTAAACAAACTTGCAGTTGTATCCTTTAGAGCACTTTCTTTTCTTTTCTTTTTTACAATAACTTTTACACATTTTGGGTTTTATTACTGCAACAGTTCTTATTACTTTTTTTTGAAAGAGAATAAGACCAAATGTGACAAAATAAAGCAGAGTCATTCAAAACAAAGGATGGACAGAGTATGATGGAAAAACAGAATACAAGGTAATCAACAATGGTTACCATAAGGCCTCTTGCTATCTTAAAAAGAATTGCCTATATCATCAGTGATAATAAAATTGAACAAAACAGTACAGAATAATACCAATAAAACTTAAACACTGGAGATATTACAGGACTTCAAAAGAAGATAATAGTTAAACCAGAATGAGCATCATAGTGAATCTTATGTCTTCAAAGTTGTTGTCTATCCCCTCAAACTTGATATTATCAAACAAAAGAGAACAGAGTAAAATCAGTCAAAACAAGATGGTGAGAGCAATACAGGACTTCAAATCAAGTTAACAGGAATTCAAAAATATTACTATAATATATACTTCTAATTTTTAAAAATGTTTTCCTTAATTAAAAAAATAATAAATAAACAAATAAATAAATAAAGAGGGAGATTGCGATAAAAGAGGACATAACAACATAACAACCCAGGTCAGAACAGAACAATTTAAGCAACACAGTGTTTTACCACAATATAACACGACTTAATAGTCGTTACTACAGTGTCTCCTTCCTTAAAATATTTGAGTATAATTTTGTATACTATAGCATGAAACATATCACGACAGTGTGAAACCTCTCAAGATGATGAAAGTATTACGAGGCATTGAGAACCAGCTAACAGAAAACGAACAACGGTTTCTATATTTTCTCTTTCCCTATAGGCAAAGATATTTAATAACAATAACTCAGCCATAGTAAGAGTGGGAAATATGAAAAGAAAGAAAAGAAAATGAATAAAGTCACTATCTTTTCCTAGCATAAACAGGAAGCAAAATGAAAACTACAATTTTTTAAGATTTTCATAAAATACAAATTAATTTAAAAGCTTTAGATTTGCATGAAAATAACTGTTCTGAGTATTGGTTACCAAAAATATTAGTAGCCTTACTAGTTTTATATATTGTTCTGAAATTCTGAAGATATTTCTTTGTCATATGTGTTTTTCAGATTGACTAATAATTTCACCTAATTCTTCTTTTTATCATTTTCACTTTTGTATTCATTGTGTTTGCTAGGCTTTTTTCTAAATGGAATAAAAATTTTCACAGGAAATGGAAGAGTTTGTGCAGAGCTCTGGAGAACATGGTATTGTAGTGTTTTCTTTGGGATCAATGATAAGAAACATGACTGATGAGAAAGCCAATTTGATTGCTTCAGCCCTTGGACAGATTCCACAAAAGGTTGGCAAAGTTTCTCAATGGCAGGCATCCACTGAAGAACTCATCAAGTTCTGCAATTTCTGAGTGCAGTAATGTACTCATTTGCCCTACAGGATTGATGTGGTAAACTGTATACATCAGAAATATTTCAGAAAAATATACTTTTATTTAATAAGGAAATGTCCCAGAACTTTAAGCAAGTATTTCTATGGGTTTGAAATAAACCATACAGGTTATGATTTCCATACTATCCTCAATTTAGTGTTTAGTCTCATTTTGGTATAGCCTTTATTATACATTTCAGGGAGATATTCAGAGCAGAAAAAAGTAAGCGGTGCCAATTCAAAGTTCACTTATCCATTCAGCCATTCTAATTAAAAAATGAGGAGGGCTAGCTGGGGTGTTGGCCACCCATATCTAAAAGAGAACAAAGCAAAAATTAGAGTGAAGTTGGGTTTATTCCACACAGTGGAACTGGGGCATTTGAAATGTGCTACACAAGGACTAGACTTTTATGACATCACCTTCATGTCTTCCCAGTCAAGAAAGGCAAAGGGAAATAACAAAAAAAAAAAAAAAAAAAAAAAATCAAAGAGAAATAAGCCTGTCTTGGGAAGATGTCCAGTTGTGCTCTCTGTAAAACATAATAGAGCTTAAATTTCTAACATATTTGTTTCAACTTTAGACATTGAGTAGGAATGAACTATGCTAGATTTTAGTTACTGTTAGATTTGTGAATTCCTATGCCAATTGTTAAGTGGATTGCCTGCAATTATTTTTAACATTCCCAAAGTAAATAGAACTCAAACATTTGTAAGTGATGCTACATGGTAGGAGAATAGTTTGATGTTTCTAAAACCAGTACCTCATTTTAGAACAATGTAATGTGTTCAGGCTATAGCAGACCAAGTTAATCTCTGCTATGAATACATTGTGCTATATCATGCAAAAGCAAAGAAATAGCTGTAGAAAACTATTTTAAAATGCACACTATTTTTGAAAAGTTACATTACTTATAAAGTGCAAATCAACACTATTTCCTAAATTTAATGTCCAAATCTATAAGCAGTAATAATATGTCTTGTGGTAATATCAGTTGAACTTTTACCTCTATTCAGCAATTAAAGAATTTTAATAATAAATAATTACATGTACTTCTGAAAATCAATTAATTGATTTTTAACAAAAATGTATTTATGAGATTTACATGGTTTAGATATCAAATATGTTTCCATATTTAAAAATTCACTTCTGGAAAAAATGTTTTTATATAAACTATAAGTAAACTATAAATAATCTATCTTTTTAAAAATAGATCAGTATTAATATTCTCATATGAGAGGTACAATTAAAAACATATTAATGAAGATGTAAATAATTAGAAATTATTTACTCTTTTGCAAATTCTCTATATTTCAAAACTATTTTGACATTTTTAGTTAAGTATTTTAATAATTCCCAAAATATTTAATTTATATTGTAGTATCTGACTTGTTTTAGTCATTATATGTCAAACATTTCTTCTGACTAATTATAAAACTGCATTTCCTCTGATTAGTTATAAAGCAGAAAATATTAGTGTTCTATATTTCTCAGAATCTTCATATTTAACTTGGTATTCTTTACTTTTCAAATATAACATACAGTAAAATCCAGTATACACTCTTAACAGGTACTTTGGAGATTTGATGGCAAGAAACCAGATACCTTAGGAGCCAACACTCGGTTGTACAAGTGGATCCCCCAGAATGACCTACTTGGTAAGATGCTGGAGACCCAATACTGATATCCTAATTTAATAAGCATGATAATGCCTCAAGGTGGAACTAACCAAGGAACATTTGTTCTTGAAGAAACAAGCCTAAACACTAACTGTACTACATATATTTTTACTGTGAGGAGAAGCAAAATAAATTGTAATAGTTGAGTTTTGTTATCCACAGAAATAATCTTAAGGGCCTTACTGAAAATCTACTGGCTTCTCATAGTAGATGCTTTAATGATTTGCGGGATGGCCTTCCACCTGTCTTTTCAAAGAAATGTATGTTTACAAATACTACTCAGAATAACATCCTTGTTTCTTTCCCATTATAATACATTTTCAATGGGAAAATATTTACACATTTATCATGATTTAATATTTATTTCACTTTGGTCCCAGTTACAAATCTTGCTGACTCACACTCTTTTTGTCAGAATTAGTTAATGTACTATCCTTTTAAAAGAAAAAGTTCTCCTTGTTACAACATCTTTCAAATATATCACTTGGTTTATCATACTGTATGAACTTTGTCTGACAATCACACATTCATTGCTGTGGTCATTTACCATATCTGCCTGACAACATTCACTTTTCTTTCCTTTCTTGATATGAGAAATAAAAGAAATATCAGTGCTCCAGGTGTGGTAGTAAATGATTATTATCCCAGTACCTAAGGTACTTGGGAAGGAAAACTTTTGAGAGTTTCAGGTTTGGCTGGACTACATAGAAAGATCAAGGCCATTTTGTCTCAAAACAAACAAAAATAGGTGCCAAGGGGTTAGCTCAGTTGCACAATCACTTCCCTGGCAGGTGCAAGTTCATGAGTTCTATCCCAAGTAAAAAAACAGAAATGTTCTCCTATGTAAAATGATACATACATACAAATTCTTTATTCATAAAAGGACCCCTATTTAAGTATTGCATATTATATATTTCTCCTTGAATTTCTAAAGATTTATAATGAATTATTAGTCTGACATTCACCTCATCTTAGGTCATCCAAAAACCAGAGCTTTTATAACTCACGGAGGAGCCAACGGAATTTATGAAGCAATCTACCATGGAATCCCGATGGTGGGCCTTCCCTTGTTTGGGGAACAATATGATAACATTGCTCACATGAAAGCTAAAGGAGCAGCTATGAAACTAGAATTCAACTCACTATCAAGTACAGATTTGTTAAATGCACTGAAGACAGTCATTAACAACCCTTCGTGAGTACAAACACTTTATCTACATTGTACTTACTGATAAGTTCTGATAAAAATCCAAGAAAATAGTAGTGAGTCTGACATGAAAACTATTGAAATGCAAATGAGCTTAATGAAGAAGCCATCATTGATAGCCCAATTTGGGGATCATGATGAACTTGGTCAGTGTTCTCATTTGAAAAAAGTTGTTCTAGTTTAAGCACAGTACAGGATTTTGAAATAGTCTGTAATGAAACATGTAGTCTTACTGAGAACGCTAACACATAATTACAAGGAAATATGAAGGGAACAATAATCTAAAGTCATGAATCTTGTGAGGGTATAATCTTTCCGCTTACTGATGAATTCAAGATATATTTATAAAGAAACAACCAGTGAAAAGCTAGTTCAGTATTCAAATGTGATCGGGCATGTTCAGGCTGGTATAGCCATAGACTAGTTCAGTATTCACAATGGCAATCTCTTTTTCAGTTTCAATGACCTAACTATGAATCAAATTTCAACGTTGGTTTCTGGTTAATACTGTTGTTAAACAGAGATGCAGAGAATAATCTATGAAGGCCAATCATGCGGCAAATTGGCTTTATTAACCTGGGCACAACATATAACATGTAGTCCAAACTGTTGGTCTCCAGGACCCAGTGCCTGAACATTATATACTGAGTTATTTCTGGTTTGGAGCTTTGCTCCTAATTTGGTGTGACTTTTGGTGCTAGGGTTGGCTTTAGGGGCCAGAGAAACTTCCTGAGATTATGTCACCCAGGGTAAAAGCCTGTCTCATGCCTGCTTAGGCTACATGATTCAGCAAAGAGGAAATTTGGAGGGATCGGCATGAAGACTAAAGAGAACTAAAATAGAGTCTGTAAAATGGTGTTGTAGCTCCCACTTTACTGTAATACCTAAAATTTTACTTGCACACGTAGTAAGATCTAGACAAAGATTTGCTTTTGTCTCTAAATTGCAGTAGTGATTTGAACATTTACAATAGGCCCAGTAAGAGATTTTTTACTATGTAATTCCAGTTCCAAGTCTCAAAAAAACTACCTATCTTATGTTTTCTATTTTTAATTGTTAGTTTTACCATTTTGAAGGTAATGACTACAAGCTCTAAGTTAGAAATAGCAGTGCAATCCCAGCCTTTCTGATCACATCTTTAAATCTCATTTTTGAGAAATTCTAGCTTATGCAGTAGGCTTCTTAAATGAACTCTGAAATAAAAACAATATTTTCTTGATCTCGTACTGGACAAGGAAATAATTTTTAAACATTTTTCTGCATTCTGTTCACTATTTCAAAAATCTTACATCCCACCACTTTCAAATAATTCTAAATGTATTTAAATTCCTTCAGCTATAAGGAGAATGCTATGTGGTTATCAACTATTCACCATGATCAACCAATGAAGCCCCTGGACCGAGCAGTCTTCTGGATTGAGTATGTCATGCAACATAAAGGTGCCAAGCACCTGCGACCACTTGCCCATAACCTCACCTGGTACCAGTACCACTCTCTGGATGTGATTGGCTTTCTACTGGCTTGTGTAGCTGCCATTACTTTCCTTATCATAAAATGTTGCTTGTTTTGTTTTCAAAAGTTTATGGAGACAGGAAAGAAGAAAAAAAGGGAGTAGAGCTTTTTCAGCTGATTGGCATTAGAAGTGTGACAATTTCATTTACCTCCACCTCCATGGGCAGAGTCATGACAAGATGGTCCTCAGCAGTTTACAAGTCCTTTGCCTCCCTTCCTACATATTGCAATCTGGATTGAGTACTGTGTGATTCAAAGTTCAACATTCCTATAATAATTCAATTTGTGTTGACATACGTTTTGTTTTCAATATTAAATAAATGAGTCTTACTGAAACTGCTTTGCATGAACTGGCCAGGAGTGAATGATTAAACTGAATGACTGCACTACAGGATCAAAAGCACACAGGCTCCATGAGGTGTAATGGTTCAAATACACAGCAAAGTCATACAAATAAGTAAACTGTGAGGAAACTGTCATGCAAGCTTTTTTAAAAAGCATAAATAGTAGAGCAAAAAACACATGGGCTATATGACAGATCAATGCTTAAACTAAGGGGCAAAAATTATACAGGCATTGTGAGAGTCAAACGGTTAAAAAACAAGAAGTTTACATTTCTAAAAAGGTTTTTCCTGGACATATCCTTCCCAAGCCCTAAAAAACATGACAAGCTTTGAGACAGGTTCTGGCCCAAACTATTTTTCTCCATCTTTTTGCTCTCACACTGATAGTCTAAATAAACCAGATATCTTTCCACTTGGGTTTTTCCTTCTCTTGGCGTATCCCTAAAGGATGTTTGCTGTGAATGGAGAAATATCCCATCTGATCCTCTCAGTATATTAAACAAAATCTCATGTCCAGGTAACTGTTTCATCCTCCATGTTCTCATGGTTGCCTTCTGCCACAATATCAGTCTATTGAATTGAGGAAATGAGTATTTTGTTAAATTTTAGAAACATTTCTACTCAAAGGAAATGTGTTTCTCTGTATTCTGTTTATGTCAAAAATATCAGATGAAGACATTATATAAGCATAGCATGATAAACAATTAAAAAATGAAGTAAGGGAAAGAAACTTCATTATAAATGGAGTTCATTTACAAAGAAAACAAGACCATTTATTTCATGAGAATAAAAAGAGACTTTGCTTAAGTTAAGTGATGATAACCAAACAAAATTTGAGGATATAGAAAAATGAAGAAATTACAGAGGAACGATAGAGACAATTTCTTAATATGACCTGGCAAAAGAGATTTTAAAAAATGTTATTTGAAGTTTAGGAGAAACACATTTTCTTCATGATCAAAGAAGTAACAGGAAGTTTAAGATCACCTGTAGAGACATAATCCATGATTTAAGGCAGATAGATGGCATGCTCTATTAACTGAAGTTTCCTTTTTTTAATTTTAAAGAGAATAAAACAAGAGACAACATAACAAAGCAAATCAAAACAGAACAATGCAAACAAAACAGTATTTCACCACAAGACAACCCAATATTAACAGTAGCTACCATAATGTCTCCTTTCTTTGACATAGTTGAATATATTTTCACACCCAATAATATCAAACATAACAATATAGTATAAAACCATTCGAAAGAATGAAAACATTACAGGACTTCAAAACCAAATAACAGGAAATAAACAATGGCTACTCTAATATCTCACTTTTCTCAAAAAAGTGTCTGTACCAACACACATAATAAAATCCAATAAAACACAACATGATAGAATCAATCAAAACAGAAAACAAAGTCATGGTAGGACCTCAAAACAAGATGATAGTAGATCAGCAATGGCTACCATAATGTCTCGTCTTCTTCAAAATATCTATTCATATCATCACACATAATAAAATTATACCATTAAACATAGTATAACCTTTCTTATTTGTTTCTCACTGAGTTTGTGGTTTGTGTGCAGGAATGTTATTGACGTTTATGGTTTGACTTTGTATCCAGCTGTGGAACTAAAGCTGGCTTTTAAATCTAAAACTCTTGGTGGGATTTTTGTGGTCACTTATACAGAAATGCTGCCATCCACAAATACTGATAATTTCACTTATTTTCCTCCATTCTTATTTCTTTTATTTCTTCCTTTTGCCCCTGCCCAGGCTAATGTTTCCTACAACTATTCTGAATAAGAGTTGTGATAGGGGATATCCTTGCCTCATTTTTGATTTTAGAGTGAAAGCATTCAACTTTTGATCATTTAATATGATGTTGGCTGTTGGTTTGTCATAGATTTTTTTATAAATTGAAATAAAGAGTATCTCTTCCAAAATCCTGCATTGTGGATACTGGACTTTGTATAATCTTCTTGATGATTTGCGGCATTGTTTGCCATTACTTTATTGAGAATTTTTGAGTCTCATGTTAACCAGGGTGATTTGTCAGTGGTTCTTTTTGAATTGTATTCTTGTCAGAAGTATGCTAACATATCAGGTTACTGTGCTTAAAGGAATAAATCTAGGAGTACTGCTTCCCTTTCAACTTCCTTACAGACTGTTGAGAAATAGTGGCATTAGAGTTTCTCTAAATTTCTGTAAGACAGCAGTGAATCCATGAAGACCTGTGCTTTAATTTTTTGGTACAATTGTAATTACATCTTCAATATTATTGACTGATAATCATTTGTTTAGAATTTTATTATCTTGTGGGTTCATGTTTGATAATTGTATGTATCTAGGAATCTGTCTAACTTTGATGTTTTCCACCTTATTAAAATTCAGGCTCTCAAAGTAAGTACAAATAGTTTTCTTCATTTATGTGTATACTGATGTGATTTCATCCTTCTCATTCCTAATTGCATAGATATGAGTATTTTATTTTTGTATTAAAGTTAATTGAGATTTTACCAATTTTATTTAATCTTTCGAAGAGCCACCTCTTTGATTAACTGACTCCTTGTAGCGGTTTCTTTTCAGTAATATTACTTTCTGGTTTGATTTTTATAATTTCCTCCCTCATACAAATGTTGTGCTTGACTATTCTCTTCGACATCAGATTGTTTGTGTAAGGTCACATTATTTTTCTAATATTGAACTTCAACACTATAAATTTCACTCTTAAGACTACTTTCACTGCATCTGATTAGTTCCAGTATGTTGTATGGACATTATTATTTAATTGTAGAAACTGTTTAATTTCTTCTTTAATTTCATATGTGACCCATTGGTTGTCCAGGAAGACATTTTTAAAATTTCGTGTATTTATAATGTTCTTATGTATTTTACCATTGTTTTCTAATTTTATTGCACTATAGTATGATAATAGTCACAAGATAATCTTAATTTTTCACATTTTCTGAAGCATTTTCTATGAGCTAGTATGTGATATGTTTTGGGAAATATCCTGTGTGCAGCCTAGAAGAATGTACATTCTCATATGGTGGAGTTGGATACTCTCTAGATATCTACTAAGTCCATTTTTTTTCATAGTTTTCATTTAGTTCTTATATTGCTTGTGGATATATTTTACCCAGTGGACCTGTCAATTTGTGAAAGCTTGATAATGAGGTCCCCTATTGCAATTGTATTAGTGCTTATTTTATCTTTCCTATAATATTAATATTTGTTTGATATAATTGAGTTAGCCGATGGTTGTTGCATATAATTATATATATATATATATATATATATATATATATATATATATAAGTAAATTTTGTCCTCTTGTATTGTCCCCTTAAAAGGATTTAATAACCTTTATCTCTATCAATCAGTCATGCTTTAACATCCACTTTGCCTACAAGCAGTATGGTTATTCTGCTTTTTCTAGCTCCTGTCCCGTGGTGTAATTTTTTCATTCTTTGCTATTTAGCCAATAAATTTCTTTTGAATGAAATGTGTTTCTTGTATGCAGAATATTCTTGGAGCTTTCTTCTTGCTCTAATCTTTCAGTTTGTATCTTTTGACTGGTCAATATAGACAGTATACAATGAGGATTTAACTGATACGTATTGATTGATTATTGTCATCATAATAACCTATTGTTAATTTCTGTTTTTTCTCCCTCTGTTTTATTTCTTGCCTTGGCTTTGGATTCATTCCTGGACTCCTCATTTTCTCTTTTTAGAATCATCTTCAGTATATTTTGGAGTAATGGTTTTTTGGTCATAAATTTTTTCAGGTGTTCTTTTTCACCTAACTATCTTGTTTCTTAAGACACTTTGAAAGATAGTTTTTCTGCACACATCACTTTGGACTGGAGATGGTTTTATTTTGCAAGCTATTTTTGACTTAGTGTTACTGTTGAGAAGAATGATGTAATTTTAATAGGCTTTGCTTTATAGTGATTTGTTTAGTTTTCTAACATCTTTTAATATTCTGCTCTTGTGTTGGTTTTCTTGAATCATTAGTATTGTTATGTATTCATATAAACATTTCTCAGGATCATGCCTAATTGGAATTCTATATTCCTCACTTTTCTGGGTGCCATATTCTGTTTTTGTGTCTGAGAAGTTTTCTGTCATTACTTCTAAGAACATATTTTTATGTGTTTTATGCTGTCTCCTGCTGTTTCATTGACTCAAGCATATATTTGTGCCATTATTCTTTGCATTACTTTTCTCTGTTGAGATTGATTTTTCATAGTCCCTTGATATCTCTTAGTACTTTGTTTTCAAGACCCATAACTGAAATCCTATCTTCTGGCTGTGATATTTGGTTCACATAGTTACTCATTCTCATTGGTATATTATCAATAGAATTTTTAATTTTCAGGATCAGATCTGTTTGAATCTGTTCCACTGATTTCATTTCTTTTCTACATTTTGCATTCATGAATTCTATCATTTTTTCTCTTTCTTTTTTTTATTTTAAAGAGGATAAAACCAAGGAAAATAAAACAGACTAAAATCAGTCAAAATAAACCAGTATAAATAATACATGACTTCAAAACTTTACAAAATCAACAATAGTTAAGATAATACTTTTGTTTTCTTCAAAAGAGTTGAAGAAACCTTTGGACATAGTAAAAATCAAACAGAATAAAATAAAAACAATAACTGCAATAAAGAACTTCAAAACAAGCCAATAGTAAATCTAAAATGGCTACCATAATACATCTTGCTATCTTTTAAATAGCTGCTCATGCCATTAGATTTAAAATAATCAACCAAACAAACAAAAAAAAAAAAAGACAACACAACTAAACAATTAAAATGATATTGTTGCAGGCAGGGCTTGTTTCCTGATGATGCCTTGTTCTCTCCCTTTATGTTCTATAAATGTTGCTCATCATGGAGTGAGTCTTGGGTCTGGCTTCCCCTACTCTGACAACAACAGTCACATCTTCCTTCATTTTCTAAATTATTTATTTAAAACGTTCATCTTCT